CAACTCTCCAATTGTTAAATTTCCATTCTCAGCAGTAACATACCTTCTGCTCCATCGTATGGCATTTACATGTCTCATTTAATACGTAACGCTCGTTACACTATACGGACTTCATTAACAGAGGTGTGATCCTTACACAAAAAACTGCTCCAACAGAGTTATGTTGAATAACTACTGAAATAAACAGTACATAATTTATCATCACAAATTGGTTGACCAATACGGTGTCCCAACTAACTAGCAATATGTTTTTCGCGGCCCTAGAGCCTTAGATACCAGTAAAGTTGTCTGAACTGTAATTTTACATATTTTTTCCTATACCCGATTGTGACATTTTGACTGAGTGTGAATTCGTATGGCAAGAGATGTATCCATAGCAGGAAACGCTTATCCTGTCGACGCACCTGGTCTCTTTCCTTTTGGAGTTCATGCGATTACCTCAGTTTTTGTTCGTTCCCTTGATTTGTATCTTCCTAATCGATTTAAGAGTTTTGAACATCGGCAAACTATTGTCGCCTTAATATACATTCATCAGGAATGCTCAAAATCAAAACTTTGAACTTGGTATGTATAAAGTAGATAATAAAAAATGATAATTTTTGTATTCATATTTAGCACATAAACACAAGTTCATTTTTATTCGATATAGTCGGATAATTTCATGTATTATACAAGTAAAGTATAATGTACTTAAAAAGAATTTATATTTGATCGTTACAGAAAGGACCAATCGTTTTTAATTCCACAGACAATGCACGGAGAAAAACCAGGCAATGAGTGGAAATCAGTAAGTACTCTGGCCTTTTAGGTCTTAATATTCAAACGAGACTGTCTTATTGAGTTAATATTTATATACAAATAGACTGTTGTTAGCATAATGTTCAGGGGCAAACATTTCCTGTATAAACAGGGTTATTAACTTTTGAAAATTTACCGGCAACTGCTTAAGAGAACTAAGATAAAGTTAGTGTGGATAAAGCATTGATTCTTACCTGAAGTGATATCGACACATACTAGGCTAAGATTGTATCGGAGAGTACAGTTCGGATGTGTTAAAATCAGACTTGTTCAAGCACTACAGAATCAATTGGATTCAGTCCAGAATGTTAAGTATACTTTGAACTTGGTTATGTAAAGATTATATTTAGTAATCACATTTAAGGCTACTTGAAAATGAATCTTATTTTTGTCGTGTAAAACGTTGAAGTGTTGAATGCAATAAAGAACCATCGAGTAAGACTCCGTCTTATCGGTAAAAGATTGAATACACTAAAGTAAAATAATCCATAGATGACTCTTCAAGCTAGAAGAATTTATTAAACTTTTTATTAGAAACAGTTTTTTAAAAACAAAAGTCATTTAGGAAGAAAATGCTAAAAAAAGAATGTATGATTACATTTGAAGAATATGTTATCTAAATGAGAAGACCTGGATTCATGTGACGCTTCTCCGTATTCAATATCAAGCCATTCAATATGATTATTTACCCTAAAGGTAGTACGCAAACTCTAGCAACTGGATGATGTCAGTTTCAGAGATCTTTCTGTTTGAATCAGAGTAATTTCTTACAATAGAGGCGAAATATACTAAAGGGATATACAAACTCATAAGTTGAAAACAAACTGACAATGCCATAGCAAAAACGACAAAACGACCAAAAGTCAAAGTATGATCTTTCCCTACCTTAAGTAAGATATTTTTATCTTCATTGGCTATCTTTTGTTATAAAACAAAAATGAAAGTATATTGATAGTTTTACATGTTAATCAAGCTATGAAATAACTGTTGACAAAGCATATTACTTATTCAGTTGTTATCTTTTTAACATGATTGTGTTAATGCAATATGTTGTTATTGATTAAAAGATTCTTCTTGTGTATTGTTTTAGCTTATAGAAAGTAGTCTACAAAATAACAAGTCTATGAAGTCAGAAGACGCCAAAATTGAATTTCTGAAAATACTGAGTACTCTTCCTACCTATGGATCTGTTTTCTTTGAAGTGAAGGTATATTATATATAGTAGAACAAAATGTTAATAACAAAAAGAAAATACTCAGAAACTCACAATTTTACAAATATATAATTATTTTTATGAAACTGTGCTTCCAAAACACCTGTGTCTTGGTAAATTTTCAGGTTACTGTCTATAAACTTTGTCTATAAAAGTTATGCAATATTTTTGTGTTCTTTTGATGTTTAAATACAGAAATAATTCTTTGCGATAACTTTTCCTTAAACTTTTCTTAAAAGAACGTTTAATATATACATTTAGAATTTAATTTAAATCAATATAAAGATCACCTTGGTTCCTATCCCTTTGATAGATTCTTTAAAATCATGGAACTAAGAATAATTAATGGCTGAGGATTTTTTTTTATATTAATTGAATATTTTAGATTTCCTGATGAAAATTAAGATGATAATAAAATTTGGCTGATATTTTTACACAGTATTTTGGACCATAATGCAGTAGACATGTTCGATTTTTGAAAATTTAATGTTAGCTGTTCAACCGTTATTACTCTTGGTTATCAGTTTTTTTCTGGTTATATGGTTTAGGAAAAAGATAATGAGTTAAGTATGAAGTGTAACAAGGAATATAAGTTTTCGGATGCCTCAAATAACAGAAGGTGTGGCAATTTGCCCTTTTGATGGTGTCGGTTTTTTCATAGTAAACATTTGCACTGAGAAAGTATGTTTAGTAGAAAAACAAAGGACATGAATGGATTATACATTTATTGTGAATTATACAAGTTTTCATCATTATAATAATACAACTTGTTCTTATGTATTTTAAGCAAAGAAGTGTAAAGACTTATCCAAAGAATATTTTGCTTGCTGTTAACAAAGATGGTGTTATTTTTCTTGACGCTAGTAATAAGGTAATTAAATGAGTAAAATATCACTTAAATAATCAAAGTACTAAAGTACTGAACATCGGATGACCGCAAGTTCTTGTGGATGGTCACAAGCACTTGTCTCAGAAAAAAAATCACATCTCTATACCTGAAAGTGAGGTTAAGGTACATAGATATATTTTTTTCAGAGACAAGTTAGTGCGTGGATGATGAATAAATGACAGGGAACTCAACCTCACCGTAATAACTATTATATTGTAGTGATACAAATCAGTATACTCTGGTTTGTTGTTATATATTATATTAATATTTGTATATAACAGTTACATGTATATATAATTTTCATCCATTTGTATATCATTCTATTCTACTATTCTAATAATAGTGCAGTGCAAGTGCATGGTGGACACTCTTCTGTAATAATTCGATTTTTCTAATATATTGGATTTGAGTAGGCATTCATATTTTCCCTCAAAACGTTCTTGAGATATTCTTCCGCATGCGTTTACTCAAATTTTCGGTATTCTTGATTTGTTATTGATATATGTATACATCTCACGACAAAACATTTTCATATCATTTATCTATGTTCTTAAAAATTATTTTCAAGAATATTTATTGATGAAATTGATATATAACAAGCGACAAGGAATGTTATTTTGCGTTCGGTTATCAGTCAAAAACGAAAGTCACGTGGGTAGAAATGTCTGTGGCAACAATACACCGGAATGCCCTCACGGTCATCCGATGTAAAAATCTTACATCTATTTTTATTATAAAAATTCTATGAAATATAGATTTCAAGCATCAGTCAGAAATTCTTGTAATATTGTTGTTAATAACTTATTATATATTACTTATCGTTACGCCAGGAAATCAACTTTCATGGACAGTTATATAATTCATAAAGTTTACGTTTTGGAAACAAAAAGCGCAATAACACAAAAAAAGGTAGACAAATAACACATCAAAACATCCTAGTGGTACAGACATATCAATTTCTGAAATGCCAGTGTGTAAAAAAATTAAAAGCCTGGTAATTTTGATGAGTTTTAAGAGCTAAACAAAAGCAGTTAACCTTAAATTTTTGAATGGATTTGACTATAACACTTGTAATTTGTCAATTCTTTAGGGTATACTGGCAAGATATGGTTACAACAAGATTCCTAACTGGGCCTATGATGAAAACTCATTTACATTGGTTGTTGGTGAATCCTCGAGTGCTGTGAAGATTTATTTGGAAACAAACGTGGTCAGTATTTATTTGTAGACTATGAATGGTTGCAATATTTCTGGTGTATTAAATGATACAAGTATACAAGAAGATATTTATTCTTTATAAAAATATTTCGCAACTGTGTCCTCACATTAATATGTCTATTTTTTTGTGTGCTGCTGAACTAAACAAAATGTTATTATATTACACTGCAAGTGTTTCGTGTTTCTAAGTTTTAATTTTTCTGTAGCGTTTTGTGAATATGTTTGCATTTCGGTTTTTTTTTTGCCTTTGCATTGTAAGTTTATCTCTCGAGTTTCAAATTCTCCTTTATATCATCCGACTCCTTTTTGCTAACTGTAGATATTTTTTTTACTAGGGCCATAACTTAGATGATATTGTTATGTGCTATGTGGCCTGGATGATGAATAAGCACATAAAGAAACGACCAAGTGCAGCTGGTGTAACCGTTGGCGAATCTTCCTGCTGATATATAACTGACAACTTTTAATTATATTATTATAAAGATCTAATATAGTATCGGGAAATTTTTGTATATCCCTAATTTAAGGATTGATAAAATATATTGAGCTATACCGTTATGAATTGTATTAACCTAACATGATAACCACAAACACATTCTTAGCACTTGAAATATAGTTGCCAAACTCATTTGATTTCTATGGAACATATTTATCACCAAAATCATTGGAAAACCTTAATTCTTCTGTATAATAATATACTAACAACATAAGTTGATGACTAAATTTTACTTTGTTTAAAGTTATTTACCAGAAATGCATGTTTTTATTCTTTGAGAAGAGACTTCAGATAAGTGAAAATTGTCAATAATAAAAGTTTCTATGTGATAACCTTAGACTTCTGCTCTAACTATTTCCTAATATCTTGCTGTTTATATAGCAAAATCATTGTATATACGTTTATTTTATTTATGATATATAGTCAGCCAGTTATTGTGTTCATTGAATGTCTTATTTTGATATACATATTTTACTTTCCACTCACTCATTTTAATCCACATTATATATGATTATATAGATTTAATTGATAATATAATAATGTATTTGAATGCTGTTCCATTATTTTATGTTTCATTGATGTATGTGATAAAAAGTTTGCTTATTTATCTTCTCAATAACAAATCAAATCACCTTGATATTTGGTACGAAGCTTCATATTGTGACATATACTAAGAAGTGTCACTTATCTCTTTCCTTTTTCCTGGATACATGGGTGTTATTTATCAGTTTCCTCAGCATCTGCATACTATAGCTTGTGCTTATCTACTTTCTGTTGTTTTATTTTTCACAGCAACAACAAATCATATCTTCTTGAAATTTGGTTTTAAGTTTAAAATGTGTAAGCTTAATTATGAGCTTATCTACTTCCTCTTGTAACCCTCTACATTGTTTGGTATATGTTTTCCCTTTTACTCATAGTAAGTGCATAGGTAAAGGGGGCACGGTAGTATTTCCTGGCCCATAGGGATAATGATAGCCTTTTTAGAATTTTCACCACTTTCTAACACTGCTCAAAATTCTACATACACAGTTAACTGAAGTACTTTCATTATAGTATTCAGAAATGAATTTGAATATGTGTCATGACCGTTTACTTTTTTTGCTATCTTTATAAACCCAAGGCCACTAGTGCTTTTAGGTCTTTTATCAAGCAGTGAATACAAAATTTTAAAAAATTCTCAAAAATTCATTTTCACCTGCATGTAAAATTATTTTATATTTTTCTACACCTGATTCATCCCTCAGTTTGGAAAAGTATGATCAGTAGATACTGTATGTTTTGTCCAATCACACTGTTCAGATACATTGACTTAAGTAGGGTACACAAAAGAGCAACCTAAATTCCGGAATGTAAATACTACCGTGCCACCTTAACCAAGACATCACAAACTTGAAACCAGTCATGACACCTATGATGCATAGACTTCTTACTAGGAAACATATTACAATCAAGAATACTAGTCTGCACTTATTTCTCACCAAAAAAAAATTAAAAGAATATACCCCTACCCCAGCTGGCAGATTTTCACTTTTTTTCATCTTACCACGTTTACTTAAGGAGTGAACAAAAACCAAATATATAATGTTTCAAATGAGCAAAAAAGTAAAACATGGTGATTCAAGTGATTCAGGAGGGATTTTTGGATTGCCAACTCTAGTTCTAGTTAATCTGACTGAAAGAAACAGTATAAGTACCAAATCATGAAATCATAAATACTACCGTGCCACCTAAAAATTATAGTGCGGAGTAGTAGCTAACAGAACTTATTATATACAATTGTGATAATATTATTAGAATCTCGAAGTAGATACTGTGCATGTGTCAGAATGTTGAAAATTTGAAAAACCATACAGGATGAATATTGCAAATTCACATTATGAATCCACGCAACAGTCTTCAAATGTATTTAATGAATCTGCCATAGGTTCATTGTGTGAGGTCCATAAACTTATTTTGGTTAGTGATTATGTCAATCTAAAATTAAACATCAACATTTATTCGATTGTTACATGAACCTGTAAACATTTTCCACTGATGAGAGAAAAAATATATCGATGGAATAATGACCAGTTCGAAGTTTTGTGCAAATTACTTTGCAAGCTCTGCACTGTGAATTATGTACAATCAATGTGCATTCAAAACAATGACAAGTAACACACGGACAACACGCCTTATAAATATATTAAAATAACCTGATGCATAAAACAAACTGCAGAACGTATGTTCAAATGACAAAACATAAAATGTCTTTTGTTCTATAAATAAACAGTGGGCCTAAATAATAAAGCATAAACAATGTCAATGATGTATGAAGTGTGTGTAATTTAAACGTATTGTTATGAATTATCACTGATAATCAACTTCCCAATTATGGAATTAACCGAAATAACTTTAGTTTAATATACAAAGCATGGGGACCTGAATGTTACTGAAATGAATTGAACTGTGAAATTTATTGATTTATCATCAAAGACTTATGAGAGTAATTTTAACAGAACCAGCAGTCATTAAATGTATGTTTAAGTAACAAAATTTGTTTGTTCACTATGGAACGATTTTTTTACATTCAAAAATTAATCAGACAGTATAGCTTGAAATTAACAGAACGGGGTTGAAATGTTGTTTTACCATAGGGCATCTATATATGCAACGGGGAAGCAATTATTTGCCATCATTTTTATCTGAATTATCACAGGACACAGAACCAAATCAGGATTGTGACAATTACACAGACAAAATGAATATATACGTATTTCATAAGTGTCATTACAAATAACTTTATTTTAATGGGTCTGCCAGATTCGTAACGAAAGCCTTTTCTGAATTATAAACATCCACAACTTGTTTGTCAGCGCCCAATCATCCCCCTGACCTAGGGAAGTGGTGTAACAGCACATCATTAGAACACTATAAAAATCAGTTGGAAAAGAGAGGCGAAAGATACCAGAGGGACATTCACACTCATAAGTTGAAAATAGACTGAAAACGCCATGGCTAAAAAAGAAAAAAAGACAAACAGACAAACAATACTAGTAGTACACAAAACACAACATAGAAAACTAAAGATTGAGCAACAATTGATCTCAGGTGCTCCGGAAGGGTAAGCAGATCCTGCTCCACATGTGGCACCCGTCGTGTTGCTCATGTTAGTAGAAACCCGGTAATAAGTCTAACTCGGTAGGTCACTTTCGGGAACAGGATTGAAATTACGACATTAGGAACATATCCACTATTATCTGTGAAACGGATGTTACATAACGGTAAACAAACTCGTGATGGCGTCCGTAAAACTTACGAAGAGATGATTTCAACTTCACCATTTGGAACTCTTGGTTTAATAGCTTCCTTTTGAGCAGCAACACTCTATCAAGGAAATCATGATAGGAAATACAAGCCCTGGAATATCGTATCAACTGGGAGATATATACTCCGTATGCAGGCGCTGCTGGAATGTTGCTACATAGAAATGGAAAGTTCACAATTGGGAAGCTGAAATCATCTCTTTTGTCGTAAAGTTTTGTTCTCAACCAACCTTTATTGTCAATTTCTAGATGTAAGTCAAGATATGAGGCAGACTTAACTGTGTCTGTTGTATTGTTTATCTCAAGTTCGATGGGATAGATGCGTTTAACATTGTCACCAAATTTTGAATTATTTAGTGAGAGAACATCATCTATATAGCGGAAATTAAAGTAAAAGGATACTGCTAACTTCTTTTCTGTCTTCCTAAGAAGTTCCTGTATGAAGTCAGCCTCATATGAATACAGGAACAAGTCGGTAAGAATAGGGCACAGTTTGTTCCCAATGGAATGCCGATTGTTTGTTGAAAAACACGTCCGTTAAATGTAACAAACATGTTGTCAATCAAGAAATCAAGCATCTTGATAATGTCAGTTTCAGAGAATTGTTTGTTTTAATCAGAGCAAAGTAGGATTTATCTCTTCCTAAGACAAGATACTTGTATCTACGTTGGCCATTCGTTGGAAATGGGTTCATTCAATAGATTGGTTCGAAGCACAAGCAACAACTTACATGAAGACAAAGAGCATTAAGGCATTTAAGTTATTTCTACATATCAATTTTTAAATAGTGTTCGTCTTTGATTGATTTTGTTTTTTTTTCTTATGAGCAAAATATGTTTGTGCACCGACCATGAACCTTTCTGTCAGAGTTCCAAATGGGGAAATGAAATTTTTTTGTGGTTTTTTTCTTGGGGTTGGAGTTGGTAGGATAAATGAGTAAATCTGCATATTTTCCAGCGGCTCCATTGAGGAGCCAACTTCCTTGTCGATCGTAAAACAGTGAGTCCTTCTTGCTATATTTGGTTTTATTTAGTTTGACACTGGTTAAACATTTCGTCAGTATATACAAGAAACCTTCCGATCACATGTGATCTCAACTGGTTACTGTAGGCAAAAATTGTTTTTCTTTTCACATTTCCCCTGCTGCGGTTTAAACTGTTGTTCGATTGGCACACAAGTAATAACATGGTAGGTGCTTTACAATTAACATTTCTGACATGAATGGATGATTGGTTAAGCCGTTCTAAAAAGGTTTCCTGATTTTTCCAAAGTGCTACATTGTAGTTCCACTCTCATGTGTTATATTAGTCCATGACCGACACTGAAATACCAATATTTTTATTCCTTCAATTTCTTTTCTAAAATGATAAAGTTTAATTGACATCTCAGTCTGTAGGAACATATGTGTCATGTCTCATTTGGTGCATCCGTTAGTAAAATAATGTACATATTGGACATGCAAAGTTGTGGCAAGTATGAAATGACGGTTTTGGTGGATTGGATACTAGTATTACTTTAGGTCTTTAATTCATATAGCTCTTTAAATGTTTCGGCTCTTTTACATCATTGGATTTTAACTATTGGGCTTTGTATACAGGTTGTCCTCTTCCTTGCTGTTATATTAAATTTCATTTTTGGTGATATTTCATATATCTTCGGTCAGCATTCATTTGATATGAAATACCTAGATGGTTATGGATTGGCTGGCCCATTGACATCAACGTTTTGCACACCACCCTATAAGTATCCTATGTATAATCACCATATATTATATTTTGGAGTGACTTTTTGTCCGGCCAGCCGGGCCAGCTATACAGTCATTTTGAACTGATATATATATCATTTTATGGCGGATTGCGATAGAAAACCAAGCGAAAAGTAACATAACAAAAATACCGAACTCCAAGGGAAATTCAAATCGGAAAGTCCCTTATAAAATGGCAAAATCAAAAGCTAAAACACATCAAACGAATGGAAAACAACTGTCATATTCCTGACTTGGTACAGGCATTTCCTTATGTATATAAGTTGGTGGATTAAACCTGGTTTTATAACTAGCTAACAGTCGCATAAAATTCTATTATATTGACAACAATGTGTGAACAAAACAAACAGACATAATAGGTAATAATGTCAAAAATAGGTGTACAGTAGTCAACGTTGTGTTATATAATCTTAATCACTATAAAAACAAACAAATATGTCAACAAAGAAAGACAAAATGGCATATAGACATAGCACATAAGCAAAAATGAAAGACAAGAATACAAAAAATGACTACAGCACAACAACACATTGGCCGGATGCATAAGTACCGAGTCATGCCAAAAGGACATTACCAAAAATGGACCAATGTTTTTACAGCAAAGGCCAATAATTCACAAAGACAAATAAAAGGAAACTTTAACACGTAATTAAGATGATAAACAACGTCAGTACTTAGATTTGTGAAGCTGATACGGAATATTTATCACCAAGATCTTGGTATCATCCGACGAACTTTTTTAGAAAAAGGACGTCTCGTTCTTTGACATAATCCTGGTTCATCAACTTTCTGCTCAGACACTGGTGACGTTTTATAAAGTCTGGGTAGCAGCTGCAAACTCTTGAATACCGAATGAGTTGGGAAATGTATATCCTATATGCAGGTGAAGTTGGTATATTGCTACTAAGATGGGAGGGAATTGAAAATTAAAATCGTCTCGTTTGTCATAGATTCTGGTACTGAGATGACCGCTTATGTCAAATTCGAAGTATAAGTTTAAAAATGCATTAAATCCATTTAATGACAACTATGGACATTATATTAACAATCAATAAATACAAAATTACTCATTTTGATTAATTCAGTAAAACTAAGAGAGATTGTAAAAAGTAATTCACAATAAATAGCACTGAAACAATCAGTAAAACATAATACAATGATACATCGCAATTCCAGTTTTGCATGTTAAGTCTTGTGTCAGTTGTGAGCATCGTGGCAACAAAAACGTTCATACGTGTATCAAATTGTTTCATGATCAAGAGTATGAACTCATTCTCAATCGAAATTGTTCCTTAAATGTTGATGACATTCATGATTTGTATTTTATTCAAGTGTTTTAATTAAATGTTAATTTTTTTGGGAGTAAACTGGTGTGTAAACTCGGCCATTTTAATCACAAAATTAACCTCAAAATAACCTTCAAAATTCCGTTAAGCTTTAGACCTGTAATAGATAACTATAAGTCAAAGTCTTTACTCAATAAAAGCAAGCTGAACTTTTCATTGGTTTATATATGACAACATTGTTGCTCTGAAAGAACGATTTTTTTGCATTTTAAAAACAAATCACTTTCACCACGTAATTTAAACTTTAGTAATTGTATTCTGAATGTTCATTGTTGAATGAAATTAAACATAAACGAAAAGGGTTTTCTTTTCAAACTTAGTCATTCGGTGGATCCATTTCAATACCCTCATTACTGAAATTAGACAGTTTTCAACACAGTTAAACAAAAGGGAAAATCGGCTTTTCACATAAGCTGTAAGTTATATATTTATCAATATCTATAATTCGTTTTTTATTCATTCATTCAATTATGTAAATAATGTTTGTTTACTTAAACAGCTAAACATTTATACAAATAGTTGATCTTTATTTTTGCATGTTCATTTAAAGAAGACTCACTGTGCGATAGATAAACAATTGAGAAGTATATACAGACATACATTTGTGAAAATCAACGTGTAGATGATTTGAAATCCATAGGGTACTACAAAATTTGAATAACAACTCGTGACAGAACAACACTTATAAATCAACTCGAGAGGTACGCGCATTCGTGAATTAATTTGTTGTTCATTTACTCCCTGAATATTTTCTAAATTCGAAATTTTCGATTAGTTATTCTGTAAAATTAGCAGCTCAAAACATTTAAAAACAATTTGGAAAGGTGTATGAACATGTTGCTGGGGTTTGAATAATATTTTTCATTTGTCATTTGGGAAATTGTATAGTCTATTAGACTTTTTCACAGCTTTTTTCCTCACTTGGCCCAAATGGCCAAGTGAGCTTTTCTCATAACTTGATGTCCGTCGTCTGTCGTCCATCGTCTGTTGGCTTTTACAAAAATGGCAAACAGGGCTAAACATAGAACATAAGGGACAGGTAAAATACAAGTTTTATCTATCATGAAAACCGCTATATAGATATAACAACATGTGGTATGAGTGCCAATGAGACAACTCTCCATCCAAGTCAAAATTTATAAAAGTAAACCATTATAGGTCAAAGTACGGTCTTCAACACGGAGCCTTTGCTCAAACCGATCAGCAAGCTATAAAGGGCCCCAAAAATTACTAGTGTAAAACCATTCAAACGGGAAAACCAACGGTCTAATCTATATAAAAAACGAGAAACGAGAAACACTTATGAACCACATCAACAAACGACAACTACTGAACATCAGATTCCAGACTTAGGACAGGTGCAAACAATTGCAGCGGGTTTAAACGTTTTAATGGTACCAAACCTTCACCCTTTTCTGAAACAATAGTGTAACATCACAATATAGAAAGACACACTATAAGATATCAACTGAAATGGCTTAACTCAATCAAATGACATATTAACACCAGTGAACATACACTGAACAAATAAATTTGACCTATGATACAATGTAAATACAAAATAAATAAACTAAGGGACGAATAATAAAAGTAACATGTTATACCGCTATGAAATAGCTAAAATCTTACATAACATCAGCCTACTGTCTAGTTACATCAAAACTGTCAGACTTCTTCTTATTGTAGTTATTGCCCTGAAAAGATAAATTTTACGATTTTTTTCCTCCATTTTTTTTTCGAAATCGTTAATGGACTCGTAATTGCAGTTATTTGCTCCTTACTTAAATGACGATTTTTACATTTTGTTTCATTTTATGCAATTTATCTTGAAAATTATAAAAGATAAATAAACACTTTTTAGCAAACATGATCAACAAGACAAGTCCTATAAATATGGAAATCGTTAGTAGACTCTTTTAAAGGAGGTATTGCCATTAAATGACGATTTGTTTCCCTTGTAGTGTTTTTGGCAAAAACTAAGAAAATACTGAGAAACTGTAAACAGATAAAATGATCAGCAATACGAGATCAACAAAAACGATTTTTGTCATGAGTTATATTCCAGTCTACAAGAGAAAGTACATTGTTGAAGATGCAGCTACACCAAGGTGAACGACACAGGTTCTATAGAGCCTCTCGTTTATATACCGGGGCTATTTAGAGCTTGACCTTGTGTAGACACCCGTCTTTTGTTGAAAGTTAAAAACTATATAAAGACCACAGGTCCTTTATATCTTACGACAAACACAAAAGACAAATTACTGAAATAAATAATGATAAATTTTAAACAAACGTTATACTTCAGCTAAGAATTCAAGCAAGAGCGACGTTTAGTTTATCGAAAACTCAGTCTGTAGCATTACAATTTCATCGAGTTACATAGGAGAAATGTCCGTTGATCTGAGTAGTATGAATGGATTTATCGACGATTTCTATATATATATTAGCTGGAAATGAAATTGGTATTTTTGGGAATACATGTTCCACTGGGGGTCTGTGCGATTTATCCAAAAGGAACCGGTTTTTATACATATAAACTTTTAGAATATACCTTGAGGTATGGTGATTGTTGTTTCCAGTTTTTGTACATGTGTTATTTTTATAAAATAAGGAGACGTATGATTGTTAATAAGACAACTATCCAAATGAGTCCAAATGACGTGGATTTGAAAAATATTAGTAACCGTACGCCCTTCAACAATTTAAAAACCATAACGTATAGTCAGCTATAAGAGACACTAACATGTCAAAATTTGAATGAATTTAAACGAAAAACCTACAGCCTGATTTATGATGAAGTAATGAAAGAAGAACAAATACTGCATAACAGACAACAACAAACGGTAACCACTGAATCAAGGACTCCAGACTTTTGGACAGGATCATATATAATGTGACTGGGTTAAACTAATCAGGCCGTTAGTTTTCTCGTTTGGATTTTTTGCTAATTTTTGTAGGCCGTACGGTGACATATAGTTGTTCACTTCGATGTAATTGGGTCTCTGGTGGAGCGTTGCTTATTGGCAATCATATCGCATCTTCTTATTTTTATATTATGAGCGCTCATACATTGATTGTTTATATTTGATTTTCCCTTAAAAAGTTTGAGTTTCTTACTACCAGATCTGTAATCTTTATAACCATACACAACAAATGGTAGTCAGAATTACAGAACACTTTCGTCTATGTTTCATCGAACTATGTTCGGTTTGTATATTTTTCAGGATTTATATTTATTGAGAATTGGATTTGATGCGAAATATTTAGTTGTCTTTGATAATTTATTTACAAATTGTTTAAATCATGCTAATTTTTCACAAGCTTTGAGCATGCAAGCTTTATAATTCATTCAATTGCAGAAGTCACTATATTGTACTGTCCATTTTATTTTATCTTAGTGTTTATATCTTTGGTGAAGTAAAGAAACGTTGAAAAACGATATTTTCCGTTTTGCCGTAAATAAATGTGTTATCTATGATATCTTATCTACGGATTGTTTATAGAATAGAACTTATAGCAAAAATAAGTAACTTTTACATAATATTTATCATAATCATAATTGTTGTATGCAATTGTTTTTTTCAGTGGGACTGAAAAATGCATAAACCTCAACATGCAGTATCTTTTGCAGTTAGGCTTCAACAAACTGAAAATAAAACCACAAGTCAAGCCAATAATACTACCGATAATACCAGTCAATCTATCTCAGCATCCAATATTGTAAGTGAAACTAAAAGACCAACCAATCCTACAAAACATGTAATTAATGTGCGATTACATTTATGGAAGAAATTCAAATCTGCGAATGAAGAGGTGTTAAACAGTGGGCGTTCTCACCATCATGACATTCTTATGAAAAAATGTTTGGTCTTGCCAAACGGATGGATGATTTTTACAGAACCCAATCTAAAATTACTTCTTATCCATGATGATGAAGGACATTTTCAAAGTAAGATTTACCTTTCCGGCCGCCCATTTGATTTAGCCATAATTTCAAGTAAACTTTTAGCAGTCAGCTATGGCGAAAATCGATATGTTGAAATAATAGATTTGAAAACGAAAGATGCTGTGAAATCATTTAACTGGGAAACCAACTGTTTTGGAATTGCAATTGTTTCCAATCACTTATATATTGTGATAGAAGGGCGTGGAATTGTCGTTCTAGAGCACACAACTGGGCAAATGATTAAGACAATTCCAATCAAAATAAATCAGAAAACTTTTCTAGTTGTTACGCATGATAGCATTATTTACACTAACTGGATTTTCAATACTGTTTATTGCTTTGATTTAGAAGGGAATGAAAAGTGGCAGTTCAAAAAGAACAAGCTGCATCGCCCAATAGGGCTAACGGTCAACAAAAGTGGGGATGTTTTCGTTGCTGGTAATGTTTCAGGAAACATTTTTTATATTTCCTCGGACGGGAAGCGAAGTAAAGAATTAGTTCGAGACACAGATATTATTGATCTTTATCTTGACAATCAGACTTACCGTCTTCTAACGTACAAATCTGACGGATCAGCTTTCAAATATTTCGTAGAATCATAGAATGAACTTAATTGAAAAAAAAATTGTTGAAAATATATATTTCTTACATTTATTGAACTAATGAATTGTAAAAAGTAAGAAGATACCAAGAGGGCAATGAAGAAATACATGTCGAAGAATGACAATGCCCCCTCCCCCTACACACACACAAAAAAAGACAACAAGACAAAAACAAACAACAACATAAAACACCAATATACTAACTACCAAAAACAAAGGATTGAATAACACAACGCATCATACAGGAGAGGACAGGTTTTATGTAACCCTAAGCTATTATGGAATTTATAAACCACACAAATGTATGTGTTTATTTAGTATACATATCGCAGTTGATACGATATTCCAGAGCTTGCATTTCCTATCAGGATTTCCTTGATAGAGGGTTGCTGCGTACAAGGAAGCTATTAAATCTGGAGTTCCAAATGTTGAAGTTGAAATCAAACCTTCGACACCTTAACGAGTTGGTTGACCGTTGTTCAATATGTATTTCACAGATAACGACGAAAATGCCCCAATTGTCGTAACCACAATCCCGTCTCCTTTTCCTCGAATGTGAACTACCGAATTGGACTAATCACCGAGTTTGTACTCACATGTGCAACACACATGTGGAGCAGGATCTGCTTACCTATTCAGAGCACCTGATATTACCTTCAATTTGGTAGGGTTCGTGTTGCTTAGTCTTTGGCTTTCTATGTTGAGTTCCTGTTCCACGTATGGCACCGATAGTGTTGCTAGAGACAGTAAAATTTCGGTGCTTAAGTAGCAATCGATGGAAAGTGCGCAGGAAAAGGATTATGGCAACGACAAACGGAATATTCCAGAAAGGTCAACAAACCCATGATTGCATGAGTAGTCTTTTGAAGAGAAGGTTCAAATTTTACTCTGAATTATACAAGTACCAAGCCAAATGCTTAAAAGAATACATTGGGTACATGTTAATGTCACAAAATAGCATTTAATAATAGACAACCTTGATAACTACATGACAATTACAAGTAGCCCAAAAAGGCCCTTTAAACAGACTTATTCAGAAGGGATCTTGTTACGATACTGTTGTCAGGTCATTAAAGATTAAATGTCATTTTTTGGAATTAATATTGATTCACTCATACGGTCTCTGCATTGGAAATAAACACATTTATTCTAAAACCAGTTGTTGGCATGATACAGTATATTTTCGTATATTTTATGCTGGTATGATACTAAACCCCTAACGGGAGGGGTTGTGTTTGATTTTCATATGATGAAGACATAATCTTTCAATCAGTTTAATTGAGGTCTGGAGCTGGCATGTCAGTAACTGCTAGTAGTCCTATGTTAATTTATGTTGATCATTGTCATTTTGCTTAGTTCCTTCTGTTACCTATTCTAACATCGGACTCGGACTTTTTTAAACGAGTTTTACTGTGCGTATTGCTGTGTGTTTGTTTATTCTACATTGGCTAGAGGTATATGGGGAGGGTTGAGATCTCACAAAACATGTTTAACCCCGACGCATTTTTGCGGCTGTCCCAAGTCAGGAACCTCTAGCCTTTGTTAGTTTTTTTTTCAATTTTGGTTCATTTATATGTTTCGGAGTTTCGTGTGACGTCCATTTTCGCTGAACTAGTATACATTGTTGTTTAGGGGCCAGCTGAAGCCCGCCTCCGGGTGCGGGATATTCTTGCTGTGTTGAAGACCCATTGGTGGCCTTGGGCTATTTTCTGCCCTTTGGTCGGGTTGTTGTCTCTTTGACACATTCCGCGTTTCCATTCTCAATTTTATCAAAATATGCTTTGGTTTATTTCAACAAATAAAAGACGACATAAGATTTGACAACAGCATCTTTCCGAGTGAAAAAAGCACATCCTCTGAATGTTTTCCCCTCAACAATAGTTTTACAGTAAATATCAGACCATACAATTTCTGAAAAAGTACAGTAATGTATTGCGTTCTGTAACTTATTTTTTTTTTATAAAATGCTGACGGACTTTAAAAACGCAACACATGTTTCGTTGATTTTTTTTTATCAAATAGGGTATTCTTATTACTGCTTTACATGCTTACCATACTTCACTCTCATTGGAAAAATTCCATACCTGATTTCAACTTCATTACTTATCAAAATCCAAACTGGACTTCTAATAACGAGGACTTGTGTAGATGTGAGTAGTGTGATATGCGCAAGCAATCCAATAAATAGGTAGCTCCGTTGGTTAAAATATATTATATGTATGTACACTAAACAAAACTAAAGTTCAAGCTAATTAGTTGATGTTTGTTCTCCTTGGTTGGTGCTCCTGGAGGGATGATGATTTGAAGGCGTCTAGTGATGGTTTGAGCACAACCGATTCTGACAGAGTGTTCCAGATGGTAACTGTTCTAGGGAAAATGAATGTTGGTATATGTTGATTCAGCAGCAGTCAGACAGTAATTTCAAACTGTGGCTGTTTCTATGATTTATTGCAGAAGCTGGTGCTGAAATATAGAGTAATGGTAAAGTCATAAGTTAGTGGAATACTTTGTAAATGAGGGTGATATCTGTCATGGTTCGTCCTTGTTCCAGTGTGTTTCAGTTGAGGTTTTGAACCATTGATGATACACTGATTAGTTTCTCTTTGTTGTATGGTTGGTTCTGTACAAATCTGGCAGCATTCCGCTGTACCAGCTGTATCTGCTGTATCTGTTTGATCTGGTTTTCTATTGTGGGTTCCAATTACGTGTTGCATACTTCACTTTCGGGCGGACTAGACTTTGTTTTGTTCTTTCTGTTACATTTGGTGGACAATGTCTTCCGTTTCAAAAACCCCAATACTCTTTCTTGCAGATGTTGTCAATGTGCAGATGATACTTTAGGGGTCACTGATTTCAACGCCTAGGTATGGATGGTGGTGTACAATATCTAATGGCTAATCTTTCATGGGGTACTGGTACAGTCTCTTCTCAGTTGATGTTGCAAAATGTATGATGATACATTTAGTGACGTTAAACTCCAAATGCCATGTTTCACTACCTGGTACTAGTATCCATGTCTTTTTGAATTAATACTAAGTATATGTTCTTCATTGGATTCTATAGATGACACAGTCTAATAGTTGATGTTACACAATCAGGGATGTCGCTGATGTAAATCAAGAAAACTGTGGGTCCACGCACAGTTCCCTGTGAAACACTTGATGTTACTGGCCCTGTATGAGATGTTACGTCGTCGGTCTTTTGAGGAAACTGTCTATCCATCTACGTGTGTTACCCTGGATTCCATAATGATGGAGTTTGTTTGGTAATCTGGTCTGAGAAACTTTATCAAACGCTTTGAGAAGTCTTATATTCCAATAATCTTTGAGAAGTTTAATATATCATCGTGTTTTCCTTGGGTTAGATGTTTTGCTATGTCGTATAGTGTTACGAGTAGCTATGTTTCACAGGATCTCTTTGCACGATAACCATTATGTAGGATACTATGATGTGTTTAAGCATCTTGATTATGACTGCTGTTGGAGATACTGATCGGTAGTTTGTATGCTTAGATCTTTCGCCTTTCTTGAAATGTTTGTATTTTCCAGTCTTTGGGTATATCTCCAGTATTTAATAACTGTTGGAATATAAACGACAGTATTGGTGTTATAGCTTCTGAAGTTTCTTTGAGGGATAATTTTGGTATTTTATCTAGACTACTGGCTTTTTTTTTTCGTTTAGAGGGTCTATGCACTTTTTCACTCCTGTGGCTGTTATTTGAATGTTATTCATAGGTTTGTATGACGATGGACCCGTGTTTGGAATTTTGTGATTATTCTCGTTGGAAAACAAGGATACCAAATAGTTGTTTAACATATCCGCCATCCCTGTATTTCAGCTATTTTGTCCTCAACTTTCAGTGTTCCAATGCTAATTGTACCCTGCTTCCTCTATTTCATGTATTTCCAAAAGGTTTTCGATGTTGTGTCTTTTTTAGGATCGAACAGGTTATTCGGGTATTTATGGTAAGATGTATCAAGTTTGTTAAGAAAAGTTTTTCTCAGTAGTTTCAAATATTCGGCTTTGTTGCTGTTTTTTTTTCTGAAGTTGTTGTTTATACAATCTTTCTTTCTAACGGATCATTCTTTTAATTTCCTTTGGCATCCATGGTACATCTTGTTTCTTCTTTAATGACTTCTGACAGACGGGTTAGTTATGATCACCCATGTCCACGTCGACCTGTTATTACAAAGCATCGTCAATAAAGTTTCATTATGTAACGCAATTTGCTAGAGAGATTTACGACTACAATGTCAACTGCTAACGAAGTTGTCGTATGTCATGGTAAACAGATTCACGCCAAAATTTTTTCCAATTAACAGAAATTTTACAGAATTCACTGCCAATAAAGTATTTAAGGTTTATAGTTTAACCTCATAGTTGCCAAAAACAGACTGCAATTGGCAAGACAGAGGCATAATCAGTAGCGCCAAAACTGAACTCAAAACATCCCCATAGAACTGGTCGACTTCTTTATCAATCAATTAGGCGTTGGTTACAAAAGAGAAGCGAGAGATACCAATGGGATGATCAAAAGTTGAAAACGAATTGACAATGCAATGGCAAAAAAACGAAAAACAACCAAAAGACACACAAGACTGAGCAATACGAACCCCTTTAAAAACCGGGGATGATCTTAGGTGCCCGGAAGGGTAAGCAGATCCTTGTTCATATGTGGCACTCGTCATGTTATTCATGTATGTACAAACCCGGTGATAAGTCTCACGGTAATAGCTTGACGGTGGACAAACAGATTTTTAAAATAAGAGAAAAAACAGGTTTTCAGTGCATACCACATGATTGGAACATTAAACGTGGCGTAATCAGTTCAACTTTCGAATTGCACAATTAAATAAGACGATGAAGTAATAAATGAAATGAATGTATTTCACAAGTCCGTGTAAATTCATATTTGAAAAAATAATCAAGTTTTGTGTTAAAAGTCAGTATATACAGAAAGATGATAAGTTCTCTAGGACGAATACAAGCATAAAGTTATGATATATCATATCAGTGATACTCGAGATTAGAAGGCATATATTTTAAATCAAT